AATACTGGATTTGGGTTTTTTTTTGTCTTTAATCCATAATCATCAAAATTGAAACAAATAAAGGCTTGAAATATTTCACTTTGTGTGTAGTGAACTAATATAACATACAAGTTTCACTTTTTGAAACAAATTATTGAAATAAATGGACTTTTCCTCGATATTCTAATTTTTTGGCACATACCTGTAGTCTGGACATCCTTCTCTTCAGTCATGTCGTTCAGCTTTTTCTTGAGGATCCCAAGATATTAGAAGGTGGGATGGGATGTGTGTACCATCCTGCATGTGCCTGCCCCTGGTGTTCTCCTAGGCAGATATGCCTGGAAAGCCGGGGGAGGCTGGGAGGAATCGTTACTATTGGCCAGACCTCAGTAGTTTGCACATTTTAATGTGGAAATACAGCATTTTGTTGTCTGAGCACCTTACAGATGTCTGAGTTTCTCATCCTGTCTCTATGGATGAAACCAAATGCCCTGTTAGGACAACTCATTCGCTGCTTGTATCTACCATCTATAATTAGCCAAAGCTAATAATCATAGGTGAAGGCTGGGAAATAGAGGGTAAACAGAGAGTGTGATGTCAGCTTCCTCTTTTCCATGACAGTGTGATACGGCGTTCGCACTGTGACTTATGCCTCACCACCACTGTTGTTCACACCTTATGCTGAATTCAGTCCAACAGCAGCTGTGTGTGACTTACTGGATCACACCATCTATTTCAGTGGTACATTAAACAACCTGCCCCCAGCAAAATAGCCCCCTGTGTTGTTTTAAGGCAGGCCCAAGTCTCCGCTTACGCCACTTCATGAATAAGTACACAGGCATTTTCAGTAGGGACACAACTCCCAATCCAGGTGTGAAACAGTGGAGCAGCTCTTTAGGAAAACTTTCTGAATGCTAACCATGCAAATGACATATTTTAATACAATGTGTAGGCCTAATAATTTCATGCCCAAGCTCTTTGGCTGGTGCTGTCTGAAAAAACAATAACTTGAAATGTGAGTTCTTCCAAATTTCACATGAACTCTGATTTAAATAAACTCTGAAAGCAGTCAAGTCAAAGTCAAAGTCTTCATATCAGATTTAATCTCAGCTCAAACCGGATTCCAGTGTCCAGGTCTGGTCTGAGTTCCCTGAATCAACCAAAAAATAAATAAAAATCACATGAAATAGGCTTAGCTCAAGGTTTAGTTTCTTCTGGAGCTTTCACCTGCATTCCTCTTTATATGTTGATGCCATAGGGCCACTGGTACAAGCTGAGGAAAAGCAATGAAGGGGCCTTTGTGTTAAGATCTTTTTGTCAAAATACTGTTCCCAAGGTCAAGGCTAAACTTTGATGCTGAGGTTTCACTGTCATTCTCCACAGTTTCTTCAGATTATTGAGCTGTATCCTCATTTGTTACGAGACTGCTGCTCTGGTATTACAGAGTTGTAGAATACACCCACTGCAGTCAGCTTTGATAACATGCAGAAGAACAAGGGCAGACCTGTGGCACCGGCTTCAAATAATGCTGCTCAGTAGAAATCCCACCTGCTGAATTATGCAGTAAAGTGCTTTTTGACATGTGTGATATTTATCTCATTTTTCAGAAAACAGGGTCACATTCCTGTATTGTTATCAGCTGACAAAATCCCATTGATAAATTATCATTTTGAACTTAATAAATCTGGATGTTTGCACGACTCACCCTGTGTCTTCCAGATAAATCCTTGTCATTACCCACACAAAGACGAACACCGTGGGGATTCCTGTGAAGGGTCATGAGAAAAACATAATAATGTAGGTAAACAGAAACTTCTTTGGATTTGAGACAATACCAGGTTTCCCTTTTCAGACATAATTATTTGTATAAAGTATAAATTAATGAGCAGATATAAAATATTGTATACAAATCTTTTAAAATTTATTTATTTATCTATGTTAACACATTTATTTCAAGAACGTTAGATACAATAAGCAGGAATTTTGTTTTATTTGACACCTCATACCATGAACAAGAAAAACTAGTTTAATTGTATTTACATAGTGAATAATACTGAGCAGCTTCAACCTTTTAAACAGAAAATCATGTCAAGAGGTGTTGGAAAAGCATCAAGCTTTGCGGCAGACAGGTATGTAGGAAAATTGTGTTTTTCTTCTTCTGTAGTTTGAGTAAAAGTGTTTAGCAGTAGTAGTGCGTTATTTACTAAAGTGCTAAATTTATGACTTTATTTGTTAAATGTTTTCATCATTTTGTATATATTATTTTCTTAAACATTAAAGAAAGGTTAGGTCAACTCCAGAACAAGCTGAAATGTCAGTAAACAGTTGTCTGTTTGCACATCCAGCAAACAGACAACACTGCGGACTCATTGGAGTCATGTCTGTGGCGTCCAGATGAACATAAGCCTGATATTCCCTCTCTTTTTAGCTCTGGCTTGGTCTGAGAAAACAGTCTGGCTCAGCAGCTCAGAACGTCATGCCTTCACCAGATAGCTGCTAACTTTGTCAGCCTTACCCCAGCCGATGAACATGTAGACAGTAAAGTGTCTGTTCTCAGAGAACACCACAAGCAGAGTGTGGAGGTACAGGCCCTCCACCAGCAGCCAGAAGAAGTTGGCCATGATGAAGTAATGGAAAAACACCAGGCTGGCTTTACATCCTACCTGAAAAACACAAACAATGATCCTGCACAACTGCATCTTAATTATAGTAGTGAAAACCAAAATAATTGGAAAAGGTGAAAAAAGTTTTTAAATTAGATTGTTTAAATTAAAATATCAGGCTATGAATAAGCAGTGTATTAGTTTTTGGCAAAACTTAAAATTAAGATGATGGATTGCTAGTTTTTATCATGGCTGGTTTGGCTCAGCAACCAAACAGGACAGGAACAGACTCCAGTCAGGACCACAGACAAACCCATCGGTGCCAGCCTGGCCTCCATGGAGGACCTGTACACCTCACGGGTCAGAAGGAGGGTGGACCCCTCACACCCTGAACACAAACAGTTTGAGCTCCTCCCCTCTGGACAGTGCTACAGGTCACTGTACGCCAAAACAACCACACACAAGGGCAGTTTCTTCCCCCGGGTCGTCGCTCTAATTAACCCATGACGGTACGACAGGACGACAACCCTCAGTGCAGTACCTGTAAATATACTTTTGTATATCTATCTGAAAGCTCCATCTAAACTGTGTGTATATATACAGTAAGTAGTTTATTTGATTTATTTTGCTAGTGCACATTCCTTTTTCTTGTTTGAACATTCTTTTTCCTTTTCTTGTCTCAATCTTATCTTACTTACTTGTCTACTCGTTGCCTTACAGAAAAACACTGCACATGCACGTTAAGAGCCACTGCACTGGAGTCCAACACACCTGGCCCATAAAGCTGATTCTGATCATGGTGATAACACTGAGTGACAGTAGATGTTTGCAAAAATGTAAACTGAAATCTATAAAGCCTCATCTCTGTAAATCCTAATTTATATTTCTATGCCAGCATGACACTAGAACCATCTCCCCTCTGTGACAGTGGAGCTATGGGTCTTCCTGCGACTCGGCTCAATGAGGACAGAGGTGATGACCTCACCAGTGATGGCTGGCTGGAGCACTGCAAGGTGCGGTTGAAGAGGATGTAGTCTTTCACCAACACAGCCACGGCTCTCAGGATGAAGGAGAAGAAGAGGTTGAGGTGGATGTAATTCCTGGTGCAGTGGAGCTTCCTGCACACATGTTACAGATACACAACATGCAGTGGTGGGCAATTAGCTTGAAAAGACTTTTTACGCTGAGGGTTTTTGTGTATGTGTGGACAGACAGATGGATGGACAGACCCAGTATTATCAGTGCTAATAATTTTGTAATATCTGGTCTCACCGGAACAAACAGAGGATGGCGCTGCCTGTGGTGAGGGCGATCAGAGACAGACTGTGACCCAGAGTGTACAACGTCTGCACGACCACGTAGAAGACCAGCTGCGGAGGCACAGAGGGAAGAGGATAGAGGTTAATGCTGTGGACACTCACGGTCCCTCCAATGATGAATTGTAATCATCTTTTTTGACTCCTCTCTCTTTTCCTGTAGCAACACCATTGCTCAAATTATCCCCTCACATGCCAGGAAAGATCAGCATCTACCAGGCAGACCACAGTGAAACATAAGCACATTCCTTCTCCCAAGAGGATGAATCCTTTTCATTTTGGACGCTTTGAGGTTTCCTCGACAACAACCATCAGGTCAAACTTTACTGTACAATTATCAGCATGTAGTTTATCAGTATGTTTTATATTGCATCTTCTAGAGGCTGTTAGCAGGGATTTACACCTTTACTCTGGATTTAGATTCTGTAAAGCCAACACAGAGAGCAGCACACGAAGACAAACTCATCTGACAGAGAGACTGAACTTAGATTCCAAATGGTCTCCTCAGCATTCGGTATCCAACACGACTGCCACAGTGCTGCCTGGTATAAAACTCTCTGTGACATGTACTGCCATTCTGCCTCCAAACAAATGATTTTATCAGTGTTGATGTCTAAATGAAGTGTAAGCGTGAGAAATGGGAAGACAGAATGACAGAAATGGGGACGAGAGATGAGCAGACAGTTAGTTTAACAAGCACAGTGGCTGATTCAGAATAAGACTTGTGGTGACCCAAACTGAACCACTGCAGTGAAAGAGGAGGGGGGGTGACACGTCTTCTGCTTCCCTGAACTGTTTAGGTGGAGGATGAATCACAGAACTTCACAGAAACTGGACAAAATAAACAAACTCTGGTGGGGTTTCAGATATCCTGTTGATTTGGTCAATATTTGGATTATACGGCTGCTAAACTGATAAGTGCTGTTGCCTCACAGCAAGACGGTTCCAGGTTCCCTCTTCAGGATGAGCGGGATACATAATGGATGGATGGATAAAGATTCCGATAGTTCCCAAATATAGAGCTAGCATAAAGTGAGTGCTGGTCTTACATTCACTGGACACAACTGTGACTCCTTAAGAATGATCATTTGTTTAAATGTTTAAGTTTGCCAAATCAATACAAAAGGTGGTGCTATAATATTATATCCACCACATTTTTCTGCTGCCCCCAAGTGGCCAAAAAAAACACCAGTTGCTGCAGTTTAAAAAATGACTTCCCCTCACAAGTGCCAGATATCAGATAAACATCTGGGTGTGTATTTCTGTAAATGTGGCACATTAACATAAAGTGTGGTCAGTGAGTGACAAAACTAATGACACTTTAGATGACACCTTAGACAGATGGATAAAACCAGCAACGTTCTGTATTCCATGTATGAAAAGGATGTTTGGTTATATGTAAACACAGTTTAAGGCAGGGGAATTGTCAGACAGTCGGAAACTTATTAAGTGTTTTGTTTGAGTTACAGAGATACTGAGGTACACAGCTAAACATGTCCTGCCTGGATACATCCATGCTATTACAGAGGCCTTCTGGAAAACACAACAACCTTTTTAACACCAAATTCTTCCTGTACAAGCGGAGGCTGATGCTGTTTCAGATCTTTTTTTTTTTTCTTTTTTTTTATGAAATGACACAAAAATCAGACAAGCAAGCAAACACATGCACATTGCTCATATTTAAACATGTATCAGCCCTTGGGCATATTGACCTCATAAAAATAAAGCCTTTCACCACTAACCACCACCACTTAATTAACATCCAGCCCCACAGGCTTTGTCAGTTACATGCCACTAATGGCCCATGATATGTGACAGCTCTTCTGCACAGTCAGAAATCATTAGTTTTCAGGTGCTACACAGCTCTGACTTTTACAGCAACAACAGACAGAGAAAACAGGAGGTGACAGACGTTTACTGTACCTTCTCGTGGCTCGTGTCCGCTCCACACACACTGGTGATGTTTGGGAAAACATCTGACCATCCTGCTGACGTGCAGTTCCTGCTAATATTACCTGTGGGAGAAGAAGGGACAGAATGAATTATCTCCACACCTCATCCCCACACCACGTGAGATCACCTTTTCTCATTTGGTGATGTCAAAGATTTTTATTCCGCCTCGGCTTGTGTTTACTGCAAACAGAGCAAGAAGATATTATCTGAGGTTTTACAGGCTGGCATAGCTGCAAACTGAAGAAGAGAAGGGTGACAGTTAAGTTCTTGTATCTGCTTAGCCACGTAGCTCCCCTGTGATACTTCTTCCTCAACCACTTGTCTCTGCTACACCGGAGGGCAGCAGGCGGCGCACACTGGACGCACAACACTGACTGAAGAAGCAGTCTGGGCACAGCAGATGTTTCTAGGAACAAATCTGATAAAAACTGCTTCTTTTCTGGAGAATTAATGTGTATTAAGGTGTCAGTGAGCAGAAAATATTTCTGAGTTAAGTTTAAATCAGGAGTTGAAAATGCTGTGTTGATCTAGAGGAAAAAAAAGACAATTAGTTTAATGTGTGCCAAACATTGCTTATGTTTCTTTGGAAAACAGACTCAGTACTTTAATTCCATTGACAGAAAACAAAACAAAGACATTTAATAACTGGTGTCCAGCTTCAGGCTTATGATGAATGTAGGCTACAGCTTACATAATGAGCCTTTACTGTTTCTGTAAAATGTAGTAACTTTGGGGGTTTGGATCTGTCGCAGCCAGGAAAGCATCAGCATGAGCTTTGGCTCTGAACAGGCCGCTGGCTGTTTGCATAATGTTTAGTCATCAATGTAAATGAGTGCATGGCTTAGAGAGGAAACTGCCATGTGGTCACTAGCTTGACCATTCTGATGGATTCAGGAGGGAATCCACTGAGTGCTCACATAGACAGGAGAAAACTTGGGGAGGTAGAAACAAAAAGGACAGAAAACCTGATCAGTTTAAATACTAATGTAAGTACTGACTCACCTCAGCAGACGGTACAGTGATACAGCCTGCAGATATCCAGAGCTTGGCTTAGTGTTAAGATAAGTAACTATAGCTGTCAAATTGATGTACCATCAAGGGTAAAGTACAAGTATGTTCAATTTTTACTAAAGTACTTCAGTAAATTTACTTCAGTACTTTTTAATCACTGGACATAAATAAACACAGACATGAGTAAATGCAAAATAAAGGTCTACAGAAATCAATAAAAATAGAATAAACAAATTTTAGTTAACAACAGTGATAGATAGCTCACCATTTCTGCCGAATACAGCCCTGAGGACCTCAGGGCAGGAGATGGTGACCATCTCTCCAATCTCAGCTCGCTCCCAGCATGCTATGTTGTCCCAGGCTCCTTTGCATCCCAGCTCTGTCACAGCCACACAACAAACCCACAACAGGCCTCTGTTAAGCAGTGCAGGGGTGTGTGTGGTGTTTAAGGTACCAGTGAGACATGAAATATGATCCACAAAGTTCAGTTTGAGTGATGGACTAAAAGACACTGCACAGTGGTAATACAGTTCTCCCAGCAGGTGTTAAAGTGTGGCAGGTGTTTCAGTCAGTTTATAGTCAGATGTTCAGTCAGTCTGCTGTAAAAACACTTCGTTAGCACAGTTTAACAACAGTTTCTGAAAGCTGGTGCAATGTGTTTTGCTGCCTGTCATGATGACTGAAAACGGGTTTAGGGCATCTCACTCACTAGCTTTTTTTTGTATTGCAAAGCAAATTAGTATGTAGAAGTATTCATTCACATCCTGATGAACTCAGCATGGGAACACAAACAGCTTGTTTAAACCAAATGCACCACAACATCCCTTTAAACCCTTGTAAACTAATTACACTTCACAAACCATTTTGAATTTGTTTTTCCTCTCTTTCCCTAAACTGCACAGGACACTAGAAGATTTAGGCACTAGAACATGGAAGGAGTGGCTTTGACTGAATACTAAACTCCCACCCACCCTCCAAAACAAACTAAACAAACTGCCTCTGAATAAAGCTCATTTAATGGCTGCAAAAGTGCTGACGACAACTCTACAGTCAACAGGGCTTTTTTGTAATGAGTGAACAGAGACAGTGCACTTGGGAAGATGTGCCCCTCCTCTCTAGCTTCCCTGCTAAAGATGCCCAGCCATTGCGGGCATCAGACTGCAGAGGAAAGTAAAACCTATTATTGTCAAGTTGAACAATAAAAAGAAAAAGAAAAAGAAAAAGAAAAAGAGAACAGCCAGAGGAGATCAATGGGAAGCTAAACAAACCAGCACTGTTTATTCGCTTCTTTTGGCCTGTTTCCATTTGGCTCCTGTAATTTTTGAGAGCTACAAAATATAAAAAACTCACATTTTGGGCGGTTTAGTTAAAGTCTGGTGCCAGATCGATGACTTTAGCCTTTGGCATTGAAAAATAAAGCTTGGTTTTGAACACAAAACTATAACAATAAAGTATTACTACTGGAAAACTATCCATATTTTGGATATCTAAAACCATATTTTGACTAGTGGAAACTGCAGTGTGACTATTCAAAATGGCAATTCTAGGTATCTACACTTGTATCCTGACCAGTAAGAGTGACAGTTTCACATTTCGACTAGTCAGTTTTCCTTTTTGGATATCTGAAATGACTTCACTGGTGACACTGCACCATTTATCAGATTGACAGAACTCATATTACAGATATCTACGATGTATTTAAGACTGATCCAAACTATAATTTAAGATATCTACAATTCAATTTTGACTACACCACATTTGATTTAAAGGTATCTGCAATTGCATTTTGGCTAGTAAGAATTCCTCGTTGACTTAATTCCTCAGTTCTGCCTATCCAAAATGCAAATTCCAGAGATCTGTAATTACATTCTGACTAGTCAAAATTCCAATTAATGACATCTTTAATTTAGCGAATTAAAAGATATCCAAATGATATTTTGGATGTCTGAAACTAAGATACTGTATGACTAGTTGAAATTCAGCTGTACTGTAGATATCTGAAACTGGACTTATGACTAGTCAAACTGTATTTGCAGATTTCTTATTTTTCAGTTTTCCAGCATGAGGAAAACCCTCTCTACCCGCTGTGTGGTCTGTCTTTTCACTGTGCACTTTCACAGAAACACATCAGAGGCAACAAAACTGCCTTTAACCAAAGATGCACCAAATGTACAGGAGTATGCACATCTGGAGGGAAACCCTCTTTCTCTGCTTTATGGTTTTTTCATTATTTGTCCACTAGAAAGTGAAGGCTGACTGAGCACAGTGGCCTTTTTCAGCATCACCCTACTTGGACTCCATTCAGATTGTAGCCATCTGGCTTCTTTCATATGAATTGTATTGTGTGACAATACTCCTTCAACCTTCTTCAGCTGCAGACACTGAATGCATCCATGTAAAAATACATGTTATGGAGACATACTGTGTTCAGCTCTGTTTTACATCACAAAGTTTTCAACCCAACACTCCACTGGAGAAGTCAGAGAGGACTCGTGACCTTGATGCTGCAGCAGGAGTCCTACTATTTAGCACTGCACCTAAACAGGATCTGGTGAGGACCTCCTGCACCTCAGACTGCTGCTGGCAACTCTGCTTTATTTCAGCCTAACCTACTTTTACTGTGTGGCTCCATAGACTGTGCTCACTTTGCACTCACCATCTCCATTAGAGAGGTCTGTGTAACGGAGTACTTATGCAAAACAATGTATATAGATAGGGCAAGCAGCGCGAGGCAGCTGCTCCCTGTGTTTACTTTCAGTCAGGCTCAGACATTCATGGCTGTGCGGCGCTGTGTGCGGGCTAAATGTAAACAGCTTTGTATGTAAATGATGTCTGGGAATGTAGGCTCAGACAAAGTCCCGAGAGCCTCATTTGCTCAAGCAAACAAATGAAACAGCTCTGTAGAAGAACTGCTCTGCACAGCACTTTCCCCCCAACACATAGGATTTGAGCCATGTTATTATTTTGCTCTACTTTATGTCATTGAGCTTTAATTAACACAGCACGGTGGGCACAACATCCAGAACTCACAGAGCAAAGTTAGGCTTGTTAGTGCTGAAAAAGCAACTATGTTTGTGTTTTACAAGTTATACTTCTTTTGTTGTGTCTGTACAGAAATGTAAAAGCCGAGTGCAGTGACTGTGCATAGCTTCCTAAAATGCATTGTCACGGTGAGGTTGCCAGGTTTAGCTGAAGCTATGCCAGGACTGTCAGTGCATTTTTCTTTTTCGACACAGGGGAGATACATAGAACAATACAGCAGATTTGTATAAAAAAGGAAAAGAAAGGAAAAAAGAAATACTACAGTGTGTGTGTTTAACATTAGATTTGCCTAAATAATTTCATATTTGAACATGAGATATCTGTTACATCAGTATCGGTTCAGTAAGAAAAAAATTAATTGAGGCAGAACTGTGTGAAAGAACAGGGACCTGCTGGACAGTGTGAATATGTGGACCATGCATCAACCTCCATACATACAGGCATTTTCATTTTCAGTTTTTCCAAGTTCTTTCTTTGCTGCTAAAAAGAAGTATAGTTCCTGGCTGTTCTGTTTGTGAGTGACTGTGACCTTTATGGCTGCCGGCGGCCTCCTCCTCCCTCAGCCTCTTCAGACACTCCACCTGGTTTCTCTCCACCTCCAAAATGAAGTTACAGGTTGGATGTCGGCTGTCAATCTGCAGTGGAAGAAAACAAAAAGTTGATATGTTAAAGCTGCACAAAGCCAGTATTCATGTTATATATGTGTCAGCTGCAGTATAGTTTGGTGACAATCTGTGTGTCATCTTTGAAAATAGCTGTGTCATAAACAGTTGGCCTACTGGATCAACCTGTGCCGCCCCTATCAGTCGACTTGGACATTTTACAATTTCATCCAATGAATTCCTGTCCAAGTGTTTAAAAAGCATATTGAACAAAGTAAAGGTAGCATCTTCCACTCCTCTATGAGGTCTATAGGCAAATTGCATGAGTAAATGTGAGTCTTATACTTTAACGTGCAAGGCTAGGTGGCTTTATTTGTATAGCACATTTCATATGCAGAGCCAATTCAAATGTATAAATAAGCATAACCACAACTGTGGCAGATGAAAAAACTGTCATGACTTTTTTGCACTTTAGGTGTGATGACTGTATTGCAGTTTTAATCAAACAGTAACATTTGGCTGTTTAATATCTTGTGTCCATCACAGAAATGTTGAAAGGGACCACGTATGTCTAATCATGCATTATAAATGCATCAGTCCATTTCATTGTCTGGAGAGAAGTGCAGCTCTCTCCCGAGAAGAACAAAAAGAACAAATATCCATGGTGACAGCTCTCTTCTATCACTGCTGCAGCTGTTTATGCACTGCGCTTCCTAAAGGTCACCTGTCAGTCAAAAGGTGCAGACAGTGCTCATAATGTTTCCTTAGACATTTGCTTGTTAATGTTTCCGCATTGGCGGCTCTTTCTTCTCATGCGAACTACTCGCTTCTCCTTCTACTGGATTCCAGACAGACCAGAAACAGTACGACGCATCACTTCCTTTGCACCGGAACATTTTCCCCTGACAGCTTTTGTTTAGCTCATGGAAATACTTTAACACACTGGATATACATCATTGGTGTGTTACAGCAGCTACTATAAGTGCCATTTATTTACATGTGAATGTGGAGGAAAGTTTATTTTATAGCTAGATGGAAACATGGCCTGGGTCTCTCTTGCTCTGTGTTTTTGTCTCACGCACACAAGTGACTTAATCTTTGTCAGATGTTGCTTTAAGTGGCTTCTCTATCTTCCATTTCACTCCTCTCTCGTCTCTTTTCACTCTGCTTTTGATCCTCGTATGGTCTTTGAAGTCAGAGACACTTCACAGGCCTCGTTCTCACACCTGTGCATGTGCTAACTCTGATGCAGGAGCGACATATTTATCACAGCCCTGGACGGCGGCCCCAGTTCTACTATGCCATGATTGAGACGTTTTGTGTCAGACAAATGCTAACTTTTCAGTCAGAGTTTCCATGTCAGTTTTCAGGTTTGAAGTACACACAAATGACATGAATTGTTGCTTTCTATAGCCTGAGCAACACACACTTTGTGCCATGTTGTAATAAAAACCTATTAAGAGTCTCCCTTCAGCCCATGTCTATGTAAATGCTAATGAATCAGTGTTAATCAGCTAATTTTCCTTATGTGTTTTCCTGCTGTGGCTCTGTTCGATGGTGATGCACACCAGTCGCTGCTGGCTGCCATCTAGTGAGCTTTGGGGAATTTTATTTTGCCCCGAGTTCAAAGTTTACCAGATATTACAGCAGAGGCTGTAATGACTTCCCTGCATTAGGCCTGCGAAGCCTTCAGGAGGCCTTAGAGCAAAAACTAGTAAAATGTAAGATCTGCAGTCATGACAAAAACAAATGAAGTTTGAGAAAGTTTGAGAAGCCGCATGCAGCAGTCACGCAGCAGACTGCTGCATTTTAGCGGTGTCTGAAACACTGGAAATTGCAACTTCCTTCTTGTAAATCTTCAATTAATTGAGCTCCCTGATACCAAACTCACTGCATAGATATTGTCAGATTGTCCTATTAGAAGTCTTGTAATCTCACTCCAAAAACAAGTCAAGGCAAGAGGATCACCAGTGCAAGATGGAGAGCATACATATACACATACTGTATTTCATGTTAAATTTCCCATGCTGACAGTTAATTTTATAGATTGGTTTATTTATTTTTTTTACTTTGTAAGCTGAGTTTTAAAGTGTGTTTGCTGTGAAATGGACTTCATGGCACCACCAGTATCTTGGACTGAAATCTTAAGGATAGCAACTTTAAGGCTTTTGTGTGCTTTCGAGTTTCCTTTATTCAACCAGGTAATATCTGGCTTGCAAGAGAGACCCAGCCAAAACAAAGGAAACTCAATTTGTGTAACAGATCTCACAGCAAAGATTTTATGTGTTCACAGTCTTTTTTTAGTGCTGTTGTGTTTGTGGGCAGCAGAGATCATACAGTCTATTAGATCACACTGATAGTGGGAAATTTGTTTTCCTGTTTGATCACAGCACACACATTGCAGGGGAGTAGCAGAGCACTATGAAGCTCCACTTCTTCCACTGAGCTCTGGTTTATGATATAGATTTACTTGGTTTATATGAAATCTGACACTGTGGAAAGAAAAGCCTTATTTGCCTTCTCAAAAACAATCTTTTCTTACTCAGCAGTGCAGGCTGGGTTTGTTCACCATTCATTGCTTTGCTCAAAGGTTTGCTCTGCTGGGACAGTAGCAGCAGACAGAGGGGAGACTGACCTTCAGACCACAACTGCCTCAAATCTAAATAATATAAATAAAATGAGACTCCACAGAAATAACTGCTGACCTCAGAGTCAGCCCTGAGGCACAAGTGTGCCTCAGTTTCACCATCTGCTTCAGGGTTTCACAGTCTCTCAGTGAATTCATTGCAACGTCATCATCATCTGAGCAGACTCACTGCACTTCCTTCCTTTAACCAAGCTGGTGGTTTAAATATGAATTCTGACATTCTTGAATATGTCTTATTTGGATAGCTGGTAAATAATTCAACATATCTGAACAGCGAAATTCAAAACCACAAACCATGATGTTCATTCTTTATCAAACTGATAAAGCATCTTCTAAATATATTTACTAAACCTGAGCAAGTCACTGTAAAAATGTTACATCACCACTATTTTTAAATTGAGCGTCGTATTTACCAGCACAGCCACAGCACTATTAATTTGAATGCACGTCCACGTATCAGCAGCTGGTGCCTGCACTGTGCACATGTGGACCAAGATGGAGCGTAGAACACAGTGTAAGTTTACTGCAACTGAATTTTAATATTAATGGAAGAAACTGCAGCCAAATCATCTTTGATTTCATTCAGTAACTGAAGAAAGGTTTGACCTGAAAGCCTGTATGAGTTCCTCACATTGTCCTCTGACACTTCATGCTGATGGTAGATATTAGCCACAGCATCAGTGTGCGGTGGTAAAACAGGCACCAAGGGTAGGTATTTGTATACATTTCCATTCTCTACTTCCATAATTTGCATCCCTGAATGGGAACACCATAAAATACATTTTGCATATGTCCGCTGTGTTAGGGTTAGCCCCCCTCACCAGGAGGGTGAGGGAGAACTAGGGGTAGGACTCAAGATAGCCGACCCAGGGCTAGTACACAAAAAACGTTTAATGTAAGACAACACAACAACGTCCCAACATAACAGTGTCCATAATACTGTAATACTCCCCGTTCCTGCACAAGCAGCCAGACGTTCTTGCGGTATCAATGTCCTTTTATTTGCAATCACTTACAGGCTTCGATGCTGTTGTTTTAGCCACAGCACACGCTAACAAGCTCTCTTTTAAAAACTCCCAACATTCAACACACCACAACAATATCAACAACTGCCTGCTCTTCCTCGCTCTCTCCTCCCACACCCCTCACAGCGCCCCCTCTCACATTCTTTCAGGCAATAACATGTAGAACCATATAACAGGATGTAAAACATTAGAACCATATAACTAGAGGCTAGACATCAGAACCATTACAATACATACAAGCGAAGAGGAGTGATGACGACGGAGACCAGGACGAACAGGTGCACACACAAACTAACGGCAGGAAACAGGAGTAGAGGACCAGGGAAGACAGGCGAACAAAACGGATATCCACGGCACAGGGACTGTCAGCCGGGAACGTCTCACACAAAACAGCGGCAAAGACTGATCAAAAATATGTGGTGTGGTGGGGTGTAGTGTGAAGAGCGTAGCGCGTAGGGTGTGTGGAAGAATCAAGCCAAAAAACGTACAGTATCTGTCAGCGTAGCAGTCTAACCACATCTCCGCGTTACTATGTTAATGTTAGTTAATGTGAGTTAGTTATTGTTAGATAACGTTAGTTAATGTTCCGGCGGAGGTTTAAATAAGGAGAAGGTAATCATCGGGATGCACCCCAGCTGTGTGCGTAGACAAACCAGTTACTAATTACTGGAATGCAACACAGCTGAGGTGCAGAGCCCATATGACGGAGAAAACAGAAGAGACAAACGGAGGAGAGGTAGCGGCCGCCGAGCGGCCCTGACACGCTGTCATCCAAAATCATGTTCTTCCATGACTATAAATGCACTCTGGCTGCGTCCGAAACCGCCTACTACCATACTGTATAGTAGGCGAAAAGCAGTAGGCGAGGCGAGTAGTATGTCCGGATTCGTAGTATTCCAAAAACAGTAGGCGAAAAGTACCCGGATGACCTACTGCTTCCGGCTGGATTTTGCAGTGTGCATACGATGGACACTTCACTATCCCATGATGCCCCGGGAGAGGAGTTATCCAACAAAGAAGACGCTGCTATGAAAACGTATGTCACGTGATGTATCAACATGGCGGATGTAGTACGTCCGAATCTCATTCATACTACCAGGCTTCATACTATACAGTACCTACTGTTTTAACGGTCAGTAAGTAGGTACTTCATCTCTTTCAGTACGTACTGTCACAGTATGCGGTTTCGGACACAGCCACACATTTGGCTCAGTCCCACATACACCACGCTACTACCCCAAATACTTACTAGAGGCCAAATGTGGATTAATCCGCTGCTGAAAATAGTCCCTACCAAATGCATAAACTTTGCTAAAGAAATGTAATGATAATTTACAAAAACAATAAACAATGCAATTGTTGTGATGGCTTACGGGCTTAGTGTGACAGACAAAACAAAACAAAACAAAAACCAACTATGCAAACCAAAATCAATCAAGCAAACAAAAAAGTACAATAACATCTACCATTGTAAAATAATAATAATAATAATAATAATGCTTCAGGGTAATAAACAGCTTCAGTCCCATTAGGGGCTGTTGAGCTGATGCTTTTGTCTAGTATGATTTAAACCACAAAGACTCGTTTTAAACCAGAGTATGAAAACTACAAAACACCACAAGAGATTAGTTACATTCTCCTCTGTTGTGCACTGGTTGCACATCACGGAAGTGAGTGTCATTTCATTTTGTTATTGTTCATGCTCAAGGCACAAAAGCAAGTGCTGGTAAGAAACTGAGGAATCAAAGCACTATCCTTAATTATAATAGGATATGTCAGCATTCTGTGGCTTAAATACAGCTACAACAACAAACAACCTTCCAAAATGAGATATCCTTCTTTTGGGAAAAAGAATCACCTCACTGATTGAAAGTATACGTAGTATGAGCTGCTCCTAATGGAAGCAAGTGTGTCATCTCATTGTGTTAATGTTCATTTGCACATTCATGGTATGAATGATAGTAAGCAAGTGCACATGAGGAATCACAGTGCTATGGTTACTCATAATGGGTTATGGCTCAGTGCCTAATGTGGCCTAAATACAACAACAACAACAACAACAAACTTTCCAAAATATTCTCCCTTTGAAAAAAATGAACTAACCCCACTGTCACTAACATCAAATCCTTTCTATTCAGATGGTTTTGTTATTGTGGCTTTACCTTAAAGGTGCATTAACACAGATTATACACACTGTCTGACAAACCCAGTAACAGTGGCACAGGACGTGATGTCTCTCAGCTACACACCCCCCTCCATGACCCTTTGCTGCCTACAGCCCTTCTGTTGTTATTCCAGCTTCTCCACCATGTGTTGTCAAAGTACGGTCTGTAAATCAGCCCCACCTGCCACCTAGCCAAGGTTAGAAGAAAGGTTTTTCCAGCCGCCAGAAGTCATATGAAACAGCAGCTAAAAGTCTGAACCAGCGGCTGCCTGAGAGAGTGGGACAAAGAAAGAGCAACAACCAGGGTTAACATGGCCGTTTGACATGGAGAGGGTTAAAAGCAGCTAGAGGGCTCAGATTTGATCCAGATGCTACCCTGTTGGTTTTGGTAGCATTAGCCACCTAGCATGGTCAGAATTTTACCTTTGTGTTGAATTAATATGAATTTAATTTGGGAGGAACTGGACCTTTGTGTAACATCAGGGCTTTGTGTAATGTAGGCAGTAACCAGAGCATTCTACTTGACTGACACATTTGCTGTTAGTCAGCTAACGCTACCTTCAGACTGCGGGCTGTGTTTTGTAGTTTGGTGCAACCAGGCACCTGTAGTTCTCATCATCAGAATCAGAATTACAATCTGCTTTATTGGCCAGGTGTGTCGGACACACAAGGAATTTGACTCTGGTACATCGGCTCTCAATGTGCATGTACATATCCCCATGCAAGGGGCAAGTAAACAGTAAACCAACATAAGGCTGTGTAATATAACAAAATAAGCAGTATTAACAAGCAACAGATAGTGCAAAGAATGCAAAATAAGCAGTATAAACAGGCAGTAAACAATGCAGACATACAGAGGAATGTTCATCGAAATGTGATAAATAGGAATAAAAATAGAGACCTGTATGAATCAGAATAATCTGTACAATATATACAGTATTTACAGGTATTTCACTGAGGGTTATTGTCCAGTCATATTGTCGTGGGTCAGGTGTTCATGAGAGTAATGGCCTGGGGGAAGAAACTGTCCCTGTTCCTGGTTGTCTTGGTGCACAGTGACTTGTAACGCCATCCAGAGGGGAGTTCAAACAGATTGTATCCATGGTGTGAAGGGTCTGCAGTGATCCTCTCCGCCCTCCTTTTGACCTGTGAGGTGTACAGGTCCACCATGGAGGGCAGGCTTGCACCAGTGACCTTTTCTGCAGTCCTGACTGTCCACTGAAGTCTGTACTTGTCCTGTTTGGTTGCTGAGCCAAACCAGAAAGTGATGGAGGTGCAGAGAACAGACTCAATGATTCCTCTGCAGAACTGTATCAGCAGCTCCTGAGGCAGGTCGAACTTCCTGAGCTGGTGCAGGACGTTCATCCTCTGCTGTGCCTTCTTGGTGATGGTCCTGATGTTGGACGGCCACTTCAGGTCCTGGGAGACAGTGGAGCCCAGGAACTTGAGGGACTTTACTGCTGATACAGTGCTGCCAAGTGTGGTGAGGGGGGGGTAAGGTGGGGGGGCTCTTCCTGAAGTCCACTGTCATCTCCACTGTTTTGAGCATGTTCAACTCCAGGTTGTTGTGACTACACCACAGGACCAGCTGCTCAACCTCCCATTTGTATGCTGACTCGTAACTGTCTCGGATGAGACCAATGATCGTTGTATCATCAGCAAACTTTAGGAGCTTGACAGAGGGGTCCTTTGACAGGTGGGGGCAGGCACAGTGAGCTGGGTCAGTTTGGAGTGGAGGATGTCCCGGATGATGGTGTTGAACACTGAGCTGGAGTCCACAAAGAGGGCCCGTGCATAGGTCCCTGGGGAGTCGAGGTGTTGCAGGATGTAATGCAGTGCCATGTTAACTGCATCATCTACTGACCTGTTTGCCCGGTAGGCAAACTGCAGGGGGTCTAGCAGGGGGTCTACGGTGTCCTTCAGGTGGGCCAACACCCATCTTCCAAAGGACTTCATAACTATAAATGTCAGGGCGACAGGTCTGTAGTTGTTCAGTCCACTGATGAAGGTTTTCTTGGGGACTGGGATGAAGGTGGAGCATTTGAAGCAGGAGGGGACTTTACACAGCTCCAGTGACCTGTTGAAGATAAGTGTGAAGATGGGGGCCAGCTGATCAGTGCACACTTTCAAGCAGGAGGGGGTTACACCATCTGGGCCTGGTGCCTTTCTGATCCTTTGTTTTTTTTAAAGAGGCACATCACAATTTTCACAGATCGTTAGAGGTGAGGGGCTGGAAGGAAGGGTGGTGATTGTTGAGGGAGCAGCTGCTGGATCTGAGGTGGGGAGGGTGAGGAGGAGTGTTGTTTGTCAAACCTGCAGTAGAACACATTCAGGTTGTCTGCTAGTTGACGGTCCATCATAGTAAACGGGATGGGAGGGGGAAAGAGCGTTAAGGAGTTGTTTCTGGTACAAGGCTGTTTTGAGCCTTACTTGACCCCCCAGCAGCTGAAAAATAAAGTTTCACCTTTAAAAAACCTCTGACAGCCCTCATAAAAATGCTGCTATCCTGCCAGTGAAGAAAAAAGTGAGTTGAACCAGATGCTTTCTATTTTTTGTACAGACGACTCAACTAGGAGCACTTCATGTCCACCCAGTCTTTGAAGAGCTCTAGCTGTCAGTAACCTAATGTTGTCTTTGCAGAAAATGGACCAAAGCTGAAAGTTTTTTAGTAATCTACAGTTGACTTGGAGTCAAAATGTTGACAGCGTAGCAGTTAAATTTTGTTATTCACCAGCCCTTCTTTGCTTACTCATCAGAAGCATAATTTCTTGTAACTGAGTTTGAACTCTACTGCGCTGAGCTAGAGCTATAGTATCTATCCTGCAGCCCACATTGAGATGGATGAGTTTAATAGGCCACTGTAGCTGGGAGCTGGTTCACACCTGACTCCCTGCTGTCCTCTGTTGCACTGAGGCTGCAGTAAATATGTACAGGCTGGAGTACAGAGGCAAATTTTGGTTTAACCTCTTCAACTTAATAATCCCTTCATATTTTTTGTCTGTGTGTTAATTCTTTGCTGAGTTGCATATGTTTGCTTATCTGTCTTTTCTGTCTTCTAATGGCAGGATACTATTCTTGTAGGCTACTACGTCAAATGAGCATCTCAGTGTACAGATCCAGAGCTTATTCTTCTTAGTTTTGCTCATTTTGGGGAGAGCCATGTTTCATGTGCATTTAGACCATGAAAACATTTACACCAAACTCTCTTATTTGGATTTTA